CCGCGGAAATTCGGGTCGTGACCCGCCGGAACCTCCCACCAAGAGACCCGAGCTAACATCATCTGCCTGATATTCGCTGAGTCAGACTTCTGTTACACACAGCCGACCTTCTCCAGAACATGGTCGGTTGGGAGTATTTTTAGTCGTGATCGTGAGCGAGGCCATATCATTGGTTGGGAGTTGCGAGGTTTAATACGTGCTATTCTTTGATAGTCGTATACGCCAACCGAGTGAACCGACAATGAATTTTGAAAAACAAAAAATATCGTGAAAGTCGTATTCTTCTTGGATGCGACCAGAGAAGCGAACCGAATTTAGAATAGGCTTAATTCCAAGATACGCCCAACCCAGCGCCAACCTTGGTTGGGAAGTGGTCCGGAGCAAAGTCGTGGGACGGTCCTGAATGTGTGACAGGGTCTTGAACTACAACGACGTAACCACCATCGCCAAACAATGATTTTCAATTTTCATTTTCATCATGCGTTTGATAGATACAGCTATTTAACGATAAAACGGATTAGAGCCGGTGTTCGTTCCAAGTGTCTTCCTAAAATTCGAAGTGACCCTTTGCGACTTTTCCCATCAAAACGGCTTACCCGCCGACTCCCTTCTCCTCGTCGCCGAGATTCTTCGCTGCATATTTGGAAATCTGTGACGCTGCCGTTTGATCCGACGTTGTCTGATTTTCTCATCAGTCGTGACTAAAGCGGGACGCTGCATTCCGCGCAGACCGGCTGTAATGATGACACCCAGGAAATATGTCCACGATAAACCAGGGATGTCTCCTGCCGGGTGTGCGGGTCTGTTGGGGACCTTTACTTCCTGAAGGTGTATATATGACAGATTGAGCCGGATAAAATGTCATCCCTGACTCACGACAAAGGTTTAAGAGTTTATATATACAATACATACACATCATGTCTGTGCAGATCATGATGGTAAAGTTTATCACTTGAGGCTAGTCACGGTTTCCGCAGGTTGTATTACTAAATCCAAGCTACACAATTCCAAACATAAGTTTAAGATTTTACACTACAGTTTTTCAGCCTGTTTCTCGCATGTATTATATATGAAACTGATTTATAAAATCTTGTCCTGACACGGCCATGGTGTCGATGTGCCCCTGTCATGCTGCGGGCGGGCCGGCCCAGTAGGTGTTGATAGCTCACCTGCTGATCAGATGGGGTGTACATATATCATCCTGGCAACCTTTGGAGTCAGATCTCGTAAAACTCCCCCCTCCGATCCCCTGCAAGGCGCAGTGAATGTGAACGATATATTTGTTGAATTGAAAGTAAAAACCTATGCCTTCAATAACGAAATTTAGATCCAAAGTCGTTGAGGTTTGTATGTTGGCAAGTCGAAATCGCTAGCTAATACTGCGATAGTAAGCACCACAGAAAAGAAGATAAACTTGCCGACACTTACCGGTATCGATAACGGGCCTTGGAGTTCAAGTGCACGGTTAATAGGACACACGTGCGTGGCTTTGACCATTAAAGTCAGTAAATACAAGAACATACTGCCATTAGCGCTACTTACTCTCCAGAGGTTAAGGCTTCGGCTTACTTTTTACGTGTCAGTTAATGCGTTATTATCGGGCTTTATTTCTTGTACTGGTATTTTTTCCCCCAGCGTATTAGATACTGCCCTGCCAATGATACTGTACATGTGTTACCAATATGATACTGCCTTACAGCCACCAAAAGATCTCCTTGGAGATTAATCGCTACTCACTAAAGTTTGTATGTTGACAAGTCGAAATCGCTAGCAAATACTGCAATAGTAAGCATCACAGACGAGAAGATAACATGTCGACACTTGTCGGTGCGGTTTAAGCCGGTACCGATGATAGATAGGGGCCTTAGAGTTCAAGTGCACGGTTAATGAGACACACCTGAGCCACACTTGAACCTGACCTAACCCCGTGGTCAAACAGTCACAAATTCAGATATGAACATCCCTCATCCAGGACACGTCACATTTCTTATGCATACATGGAGGGAAAAGAATATGAATACGCTGACATGCCCCCATTAGAAAGAATAGCGGTAAGTTGAAAACGTTGTCATGATGACAAGGTAACGGACCTGTCTGTTTCCGATGGAGACACTTGTGCCGCACACGCGAGAGGTCACGGCGCACACGCGAGAGGTCAAGTTGATGCACCCTCCCGTCGTTCAAGGTCAGGAGAAAAATGCGGCGACGACAAACGTCTTAGACATCTGTATAACGGACAAAACGCGGTAGATTTCATGGGATACGGATGGGAAGAGGGGAAAAATGGGACTGAAATATCTCACTTCAGAAATGGGCGGAAGAAGAAAGGAAAGAAAGACAACAAGAAGGCATAGAAAGAAACGAGAAAACGGAAAAAGAACTGAGAGGAAAATTAACTGAATGTTGATAAACTTTATTGCACGAGGCACGGCTTCATGTACTTCATGCATTTAGACTAATCGATCTACCTTACAAACGACTATGTAGTATGAGGTGAGGATCTGCCTTTACTGTTGGAATTTCTAACGTTTTGCATTTTCTAAAGCATTGTCATATAACGTTATATACAATGCAGAGGTTGTCACATGTCGCCTTCAGCCCCTTTGCGAGGCTATCAAATGTTGCTGTAGGACGGGTTGGTTCGCCTGAGCTGACACTCCTGACAGTAACACACAAACACACGGCGTGTTCTTGTCCCCACCTGACTTCCTAATAATAGTGACTGCAAATTGGCTTAACTTGGCTACTTGGGGTGAAGAAATATTAGCGAGCCAATTGGCCACATTTGGGCCTTCACCTGCCTGCGAGCTCCTCTGGCAAATCCTTCACTCTATGCGGCCAGTAAAACCTATTTGGGGACCCACAAAAGGAGTCTGGTGAGACAAACACTTTTTAATGTCTTGTTCCATTCACGGAAGTTAATAATAGTGACAGTAAATGGAAAGAAGTTGGCTACATCAGGTGGCCAATTTCTCAGGACCTCCAGTAGATTGCCAACTCCCCAGGCTGGCAAATAATTCACTCGATTCGGTAAATTTCTACCTTGGATCAACTGATAATTCAAGCAGATGAGAATCTTATTTGCATAGTAATTGAGAAGAAACATTTATAATTCGTCAGTTGTAGAGTAGAGTAGAGTAGAATCTACGGCCAGGTAGGACGTTGTAAAGGATAACATAATTTGGTGAAGGTATGGATTGTTCTCGTTCTTGCAGACCGCGTCTGTGCCAGTGTGACGTCCTCGTGATAACATATGGTTGTTAGTAACTTGTTACCTTATGAGGAAAGTCACGAATGTTATTCTCGTTAATTCAGATGACGCCATGGCGTGTGTTTATATGTAAACACGTCCTGTGGACCGCCTGACGTCACTGTCCGGGTCAGTGTCACGGCACACAGAAGGACTGCGATATTTATATGAACCAGTTTGCGAAGGTATTGTCAGATTTACGTAACGCTACAGTACATTTGTTAACGTGACGTCATTTCATGCAGCCTTCCCATCCGAATAAGGTCCATTTCACTATTTGCGGAAAGAGGGGAGACATTTCTAGTGACAAAGTTGTAATGGGTGTGCTTACGGTACAATGTGTGGACAGAAGTTCCTTAATCGTTGAGCTATAAATCTTGACTCGGCCATGTCTAAAACTTCCGTGTCGTTTCCGAGACGCACGGCGGGGACATGTGGCCGGTGAGCGGTGCAGATCACCTGTCCGCACGGCGCACGTGGTGTCTCTGCTTTCCAGACGTTTCGCCGCCGCTAAGACGTTTCCAGGTGACGTCATGTAACGTTCAGGGTGGCCTTCTTAGGTTCCACTAGTATGTGACGTCAGGTCCTCGGTATTGACATTGACGGATCTCCCAACGTCGGAAACATGGAAGGCCAAATAGTAGTCGGTATTTACGTGTCAGTAGGCAACGTTTACTGCACCTCAATGACGACCATTGGCACTCTCTTCGGTGACAGTCCTAGTGGCACGGCAGGACAGGAACTTGTGGTATTTTCTCCCTTTCCTGTTTCCGCCTTCACCCTGACGACTGGCCCATACCGTGGGCGTCCCTGGCGACCAAAACATTGATCGCCTGGCCGTAAGGCGTAGTCACCAGACTGCAGTAGGTGGAAAGTAGTAGAAATTGCAACCCACGGATCCGTAGTCTGTCGACATTCCTTCTGCAAACAATGTACACTGTAGAAGTAGCCCACCCATTATTCGACATAGCTGTACTAGGCAGCGCCGAAGACCTTAATATTGACATAGCCGGCAAACTTCTCTGACATGGTACTATTTAGTATCTAATCTATATTGTCAATATCTACTATTTTCCAGCAACCCATTGCATTGTCCACCATTAGTAATAAATCGATATTCGCGATGATGACTGGTTGAGTTTATGTTGTATAACTACAACCTTGTATCTGTAGTTCAAGTCCATTTTCATAACAAGATAGCTGAATTTTGTACATGTACCGAGCTTGCACGACCGTCCCAAGAATTCCCCGTTTACAATCGCGCGATACATTTGGCAGAGCGCAAACAACACTGGCCTAGCAAGTTCCAAATTAACCAACACAAATTGTAAATGATGGTATCAAACAAGAAATCAGATCCAAGACTCAAAGTCGACACTCCCGACGGACGCCAGGATTACCGGGTAAACAGCGCTAATTGCTGCCCCGGTGTTCATTACTAACCGAGCTTTAATGGTTCAGGTCACCCTAAACCACCTGGCCTTCATAGCCTAGCATAGCCAGCTGTATGGATCCTGCGTGGTAACTATCAGAAAACTGCGCGTAGTTAGTTGTTGGGGAAAACATCCCAAGAAGGCTGCGATAGAGGCTACAAAAACTTAGCCTGGTTACCAAACCTATTGTAGCTCCCGAGTCCTACATCCTATTTGCGGAGAGGATGTAGGACTCGGAAGCTATAATAGGTTTGGTAACCAGGCTAACAAAAACTAAGAACAAACAACCAGACCAAAGTTACTCGTACCAGAAGAAAGATCATTCCATCTCGATAGTCTGAAAAAAACACGTACATCGTATTTCATGTATCGCAAACGATTATATATTACTAGACGTTTAGAACGTTTAACACCAATCAAAGACATTCAACAGTAACTAGGGACTAAAGTTAATCTCTTAAGCGTTCGTTTGATAATGTGCGTATGATACTGTTCCGTACACAGTACGGGTATTTATTTACTCAACTCTTATATAAAGGCATGTCTTGTCGATCAAAAAAGACAGAATACACCAAGAACAAACCTTTTGCGAAAATACGAGAAAGATGGGAGAATTTCGCAGAGACAATAATTTTCTATGGCCGACGCTAGACTAGCCTCTACCAGTGAGATCGAGACTAACTGCACTGGCATAGTGTGAATAATTTACCAGGGGAGTTTGCAATTGCCCGCGCAGTTCTAAGAGAAAATGTTTGCTTTACCGCGGCTCACTCCCCCGGCCAATTATTGACCCTTTTTTGTCAAATTCTACAATCGATAATCCCTCACACCCCGTTCCACTTGAGGGTGCGACCGGTGAGCGACCAAATATTTGACAGACCGCTCGATGAATCTGAAAATAAACACAGTACGTTTTGTGTGCTTTGTTGTCTTTCTAGCCATACTTTTGCATCTTGCATCACATTCCAAATACTGTCAGTACATTGTCAATAAAAACAAGGGTCACACAAAATCCAATTTTGGTCGCTCAACGGTTCATCACCGATCGCTGTCTGGTGGAAGGGTGCCTTACACTAGTGGCGGCTAGTCGACCGACACGCCGTTTTTATCTACTTCCTCTGTATAAGAAATCCGGAGAAGACGATGGCGGGTTCGTTTTTGCTGCCGTCCAAGACGCTGCCGATCCTGAGCTCGGTATGGACCCTGTCCTCGGCCTGCAGGACGATGGCCGCCCCCTGGGCCAGCATCTCGGTCCCGGCCCGCCCCGTGCTGTGTGCCATGGCCACCGCCCGCCCGTTCCGCAACAGCAACACCGCGCTGTCCGTGCCCTCAGCCTTCCGCATACCGAACGAGAAGTAGTACACGCCGCTCACCTGGTGGAGAAAAAAAAGGAAACGTCAAGGTGAACGTGCTGATCTCGGGCCATTTGAAAAAGTAGCTATCTGAGTCAATCTTTTCTGTCACTGGTCGTGAGGAAATTCCTTTATCTTGTCGACAAGTATAATAAACAGTAGACCACGGCTTAACGTCCCATCCTAAGGACTGTGACCCTTTCCAGTAGCGTTCATGTCGCGCGATAACAGCTGGGATTCGAACTACCGACGTCTAGATTCAGAGGTAGGGTTGCTTATAACAGGACTATATACGCACCTGGCACACGAAGACGCCCGACGACGCGTCAAAGTCGTCGGCGACGTTTGTCGGTGTCTGGTCGAACGTGATGACGATGTTGCCGTCCATGGCGGCCAGGTCGTGCGAGCGCACCGCGGTGAAGGCCGGCAGCCCGTTGTTCCTGGAGCCGACGATCTGGCCCACCACGCCGAGCTTGTGCGCCTTCTTGCCGGCCCGTCGGGCGGAGGAGCGAACCTTCTTCCCGCCGGCGCCGCGGACACCGGGAGCGCCGGGCTCCACCAGGTTAGCGGGGCCATCAGGCTTGCCAAACACTAGGGGAAAAGGAGGCGGCAACACATGGTCCTCAAAACGTTTCTCGACAAGATTTGAAAATGTTCTTTTGTCTTTTATTTTGAGGTTCGGAAACTTATTAATGGCAGTGGTTAATGAGCTATAATAAATGTCTGACAAGTGACAACGTTTGGGCTACGGATCACTGAAATGCACTGAACACCAATATGGCGACACTTGCAAACATACTGATGAAGCCACATGGGTATAGTCGACAGTAAGCTAAATCTAAATATGCGGCTTTGGCCGTGGCTGGTGAGTCATTGACATGGATGTCAGCTGTGCGTCGTCCTGGCAGCGGGCGGAATGACATTGATGACAGCTGTATGTTGCCATGGCAGCGGGCAGAACGTTGTTCGTGTCGCTATTCGGGACACTCGAGGTCACGACTACTGTCATAGGGGAAACAAATTTAGAACCACATCCAGATACAACTACACTTGTATATACAGTGTGGATACATTAGTCGTCATGGGAGGGGCATTTGTTTTCAACAACATACATGACGAGTGTTGTTTAGTGCCCAGTCACATAAGTCATGCGATCGCAAACTGAGGGCATTCTTGGGACAGTCATTACTATGTCCTGCAAAGATTGAATGAAAAGACTGCCTTAGATCCTTGTCGGTGTTGTTCTGTCACATGTCATAGCCTGCTTGAAAATCTGCGGCATAAAAATCGTACGCTATATTTACGGCCATATTAAACCGACAGCATTTATTTCAATGACCATTGATGTGCCTACAGATAAGATAAACGTGATAAAGGACCTGTGCCTACCCCGTTCCCGTTTGTTGTCGGCTGTGACGCCCTGCGGCCCGCTTGGTCTGCTCACCCTGCCGGAGTGCGTCCCTCTGCTGTACCTGTAAAACCCCGGGTCGTCCTCGCAGACGCACTTCAGCTCCTTGCCGACGACGCTGCCCGCGCACAAAAGCAGCAGGACGGCAGACAGGGATAATTCCTTCCAAGACGTTCCCATCTTCAGACGCAAGACGACGTGACGCCTTCTCTCTACGTTTCGGAGCTGCGTAACGCCAGCGGAATGCGTGACACCGTAGAACAGCGGAGAAAACTAACACCCCAACTGTGCGCCACTGATCCGCCACTACGTGTCACTTTTAATTGGGACGGACGGAGAATGACATTCGCACAGAATTGATACGGGCATGGTGAACTGTTGAGTGCACGCCACCGCCCCATTCCTAAAGACATTGTTCGGGATCGGTTTTCGCTACTGCGGACGGATAATCGTGTTTTTTGGACCGGAGGGGGAGACGGAGGCGACTGATTTGTCGTTCCGAGGACCCCGTGTGGCTTACTGGCGTCTGGCAGCTCTCTCGACTCTCAATTCACATCAATGTCAACCGCAAAAGTTAGAATATGTAATATCAATTACGATATTCTAACGTTGTGTCATGAGGCGATCTGTGTAATGACGGAATTTTGATTATGAGGATAGATAAGTCTGAGTGCGGAGTAACAGACGTCAGGGCGCATCCGGAAACACGGTTTTGGCGACAAAACAGGCCGATTGATGCCATGGTCGCTCAGGTGTCTGAAGCAACTAACTGAATCATACCTGATCATTGTCGGTCTCAATACAAGGAGGTTTTCCTTATATACACGTATATACACTGAATTTCATAATTAGAGTGATTTTCCGTTGTTCTGCCGGAAGTATCAGCTTATGTGAAAATTTTACGGACAAAATGGCGCGCGCTGATCTGTAGTCACGTGACTGATGTTGATGGATAGGGAGGACTGCTGTAATGGTCCAGTAGTGTCCGACTTTATTGCGTTGTTGCCAGTTACCTCACACAGCCTCGTTAGCGCAGTAGGCAGCGCGTCAGTCTCATAATCTGAAGGTCGTGAGTTCGATCCTCACACGGGGCAGATTTTTTCTCTTTCAAACAAAAAAAAATCGAAGAAGTATTTCGAGTCTTTTTTGTTGAATTTCTTGTCTCATCCATTAATGTGAATTTCTCTCCGTTTTCCGACTAGAACCCTGGCAACAACCGGGCCAACTTGTCCTTGTTGTTAGCTGGATCATGACCAGCTCATGATTCTGGGCCCTCTTGACCTGACTTCCAGATAGAGCCAACGCACACACAAACCCAAACTAAGTTAGCAAGCCCCAATGTGTAAGATCGGAAAACGAATCTATAAGCACTTGGGTTGATAAGACTGATACTTTCCACCATTACTCTCTTGTTTTCTTACGCAGAGGCTGGAGGTCCCGTGTTTGAAGAGAGCCATACCTCGATCGAACACGAAAGATCCCACCAAGAGTAGGAATCCATCCCGGTGTGAGTGGATCAAGCCTTACAGTCCGGTCTTGCACAGCTTGTGTTACACCTGAAGGCAGTTTACTGGTCATGCGACATAAGCAGAGGAAGGTAGCACATGACCTGTTTTTACAAATTAAGGCTCGGCATGCGGACAGTAGTGTGCTGTCGATTACAGCACCAATCCTCTTAGTTCATTTCCGACGCTGCCAAGATAGGTTTAAATTAAAGTCCATTACGAAAGGCAGACCAGTAGTCTGTTCTCCTTAAGTAAGCGTGCAGCAGACATGGTGTGACCCTTGCCTGTCGCACGCTTGTTTAAGACTCCTCATGTCCCTAATATACATGTACCTCTTCACTGGGACGAACGCTATAAATTGTGATCTTCACGGAATCCGGGTGCTTCCACTTCACGACACCTACTATGATTAAAAGTCACTTTATATAAATTACGCGTGCTTAAATATTACATTTACGCTACCTTTACGTCTGTCCGTAAAGCGTCGCAAGTGGCAAGTCAAGGCCAAAAAGATGCCGGAATAAAGTGCCCACCAACTGTGGAGCACCTGGATGTCTGACCTTCATCACAAAATCAAAAACAGATCTGCAGAAACTGGTCTAAAGGTGAGACATGTATGACAGGAAATTCGGCCAAGTCTTCAAGGCGCCGACACCTAATTGTCTTCAAACATAAACACGTGTTCTTTGAGCCTACTTAAGCAGTAGGTTGGCAACAGTGTGTGTGTGAGCTGAGCAACATCTTAAATTAAGTATCAGCATCAAAGCTCATCTGTCATGGTAGCTAACATGATTTGAGCTGTTACTGACACTTGCCATGTTTCTGGTAGGGTTGCTAGTAGCACTTTAGTTCACAGCTCAAGCGTTTGTCCAAAATCTGTTTTAGTACGTTACTTTTCTTTCTACTATGTCAACTTAAATCAACACCTTGATTACCAACTTCGTCCTTCTTTGACCCCAGTGTAGCTGGAGTACAATCTGGCCAGTGTACATTCTGGTCAGGGGTACATTCTGGCCTGCTACAACAGGTATCTTACAATCCCAAGGAGAATCAGCAGTTAAAGTTAAAACAACTGGATAATTTATTGTTGGTTCAACACAATCAACAGCTGTAAAAAAACTTGATTCCTCTAAGTCTAATATCATTAGAATATACAAATCTGTATTAGTAGTGTCATAATCAATATTTTATTTTCAGATTTTTACTTGGTTTGTAGTGCAAAAATTTCCAAGCACTTTACCTTCACCTACAGCTATGGAGACATGTGACTTTCAATTTCATAAGACTTCCTGCATCTAAACTAAAAAGTGTTAAATCTTCATATTTTGTAGTTGTTTCTCAAGAAGTTCTGATGGTGGAGAAAAATAACACTTGTGATGCTTCTCCTTCCACACCCAGCCTGCACTCCTCCATCCTACTCACCAGGCACATAAACAGCCTGGCTTAAACTTTAGTCTTTGTTAAAAGCAAACGCTGACAGTTTGCTGTTGACGGAGGTAGAGAGGGGCCTCTTCTTTTTAGCTTGGCTGCCGGCATCTTCAAGTCTTTTGTCTCCAACATTTTCTCCCTTAAGACCCTCATCATCTCCTTGGAAGGTTTCTTCACTTTCGGATTCACGCTTCCTTTTCTTGAGGTCGGCGTCTTGAGATGTGTTGGACATCTGTTTGGCCTTCTCGTTCCAGTCCTGTGTGAGAAACGAAGAACAGAAATGAAGCAGTTTAGTTCACTAAAATGCAGCATACACAAGTAAAATGTACACATTGAATCATCTGCTTTGTTTCTTACAAAATCAATCTCCTTCTGTTGATCAACAAATCCAGCAGAAGGTCGCCACCAGTGCAACCCTTTCCAGTAGCATGCTAGCAGGGTGAACAA